GTTGAACTGACGCGGCATATAGAGAGCCTCGACGTACACGGGCGACGTGAGCGGGCCCGAGTAGTTGGCGACCGCCGCACCGAGGTAGAAGCTACTGTAGCCGAACGCGACGGCGGCGAGGATCCACAAGAGCGGCTCAAAGGCCGGGAGCAGGACCTTCTTGGCAGCCTCCATGTCGCCGAGGTACGCTGTGGACCGCGTCCGTCGGAGGTGCACGATGATCGAGAGCGATGCGATCAAGAGGAGGCCGTAGCCAAAGACGTTGACGACCTGGACCTTGTGGTAGTCATGGTAAAAGGCATCGCCGAGAACCGCCTCCCCCGCGGGCGCAGACATGTGTGGCGATCAAAATTGAATTGTGGCAAGCTTCTGGGATCGACGATGCGAACGCATCCACCTCCACCTGCGGTTCGTTCGTAGGCAAAGTAACATGCGCCCTTCAAACCTACGACTGCGTCACGTTGTGCTACACATCACCGGCAACAGTAGGACGCACAGAACCTGATGTGGCCCGTCTTGTGGCCTCTCTATCGCCTCGCCATTGACGTGAGATGCCAACGACTCGTGTATTACTGTAGTAGAGAAGATTTCGGTCTTCAGGACGCGATCGCTCATCTCGCCGGATCTGCTACTACGCGTCCACAAGCTGCGTCCACTTCGGATTGAAGCATGTCGGGAGGAGTGGTGGGTGTGATGACAAAAGTAACCAGTTTGCACTTGCAAAGTGCAATGTGGCGCACCGAGATCTTATTCGATCTTAATGTTTATTCTTGCTGGTGAAAGCGACGACGCGGCGCCGTAGGCCCGATGCGACGATGATACTCGCGCCCTTCCCTTCCCTAGTGACCACCGAGGCCAAGAGACATGCCAGTGCTTTCGCTTTGTGTGGTAATTGGTGGCAGCGCGACGTCCCACTCTTTGCAATGACGCGAGGGTGCATGCACTGTAAATGCGACAGAGAAATGAAGATCCAACGACAAGCTGTCGACGTCGTCATTCAATGCCCCAGCGCGTGTGGCCAGTACTTGCCCCAGAACGGTGGCTGGACGGTTTTCGCCACACGAATGCAACAACCGATTCCCATTTTAGTTCTCATAGACGTTAACGACTGTACTAGTATAGTTTTTCGTGTTCCAATTCTCACATTTATCATATACACGATGTCCACCTTGATGAAACGTACAACAACCATACGTTTGTAACCTAGCCCCAGTCCTATGCAATGATCGAGACGCTTTTAAAGTGAGCCTTATTGCTTGTGCAGAGCGTACCGAGTCGGTCGAGTCTTCTCGTGACAGATTGTATTACACTGGTGTGACTACAATGGATCTTTGCCTGATACTACTAGCCTTGCACGTGTATGTACTGTATGGTCCGACGCAGCAGAAGGGTCCGACGGCGTGGTGTCATTGTACCTAACGTTATTCCATGGAATCGAGCTGTGAGAAGCAGGTCATGCAACGTGTGCTTGGAAGACGAGACGTCGTCGACCACCTCTCATCACTCGCGTGATTGTCTCTGGTACTAGTAAGCGCTACAACCACGGTGATGTTCGCCGCGCCGGATCGGCGCCTTCCGACACAGCCACGAAGTAGCTACTCGTGTCGGTGACCCTATCCCTGCTTCATCCTCCCCCGCTCGTCGGCTTTTCATAGCTCGATGCATTCACAGCAAAACACTTCTACTCGCTCGGACGACAACGCGCGTGTAGACGCCCAAAATGACGGAGCGTGTTGTTTGGCTATCGTCCTGCAGTATACTCGTACTCTCGCGGCTCAGTAACCTCGTGCGCAGTGGGCTGGGGCTTCGCCAGGACCGCCACGGCAGCCAGTACGGTGCTTTCATCGAGAGCAACTTGTGTGTTCCTTGCGCCAGTCGCGGGCAGTCACAGACAACCGTCGCCTTCGCTTCGCTCGAGCATACTACGTCCATCAGCGCTCGCGTCGAGAAGTGGTAGACGCTCGAGTGGTTGTTGAAGAAAGGCTTCTTGTGGTTGTAGTGGTGGAGCACACCGCCGTCCATGAGGCCGTTGCAGAGACGGGGTTGCCTCGGCCGCCGAGAAGGCAAACGGACCGT